AAGAAACAGGAAGTGTAGCTCAAAACGTGTCTGCTTAACCACACTTAAAGGACATTAGGAAGACTACTCTCACTATGATAGGAGCAAGCCACAGAAGACAAACATATAGTAGGTGGAGTAAAGATAAGTTAGTATGTGAAGGTGTTTTGTGTTGCACTTGTATTTGAAAAAGGATTTGATATCCATTGATCTCGTTGGGACCACGTGTTATCAGTCTGCCTTTTGTTATATCATTTAGATTATTAGGTATGTTAGAGTGCGCTTTGTGTAAAGAGAACATATCTGCAGGTTGTAGAAAGTAAGACAATGACTGAAGGAATAACTTAACCTATGAATGTTTAAAACTGTTAATGAAGTGTTTTTAGCTGCACATCGTGGACAAAGCCTTATCTGAATGATTTGCTATCTGAATGACAGAATCAACAGTGTGACATTGCTTTGGTCTGTCGGTGTAGTATTTTCTTTTGTTTTCATTGTAAAATGAATATTAATGTCAAATGTGATCATTTCTCTTTTGATAAGGTGTGTTTTGTCCTACAGTTGGTGTCTCAGATGGGTGGCACTGTTTAGTTGTCAGTCAAACTGCACTTTCTAACAGGCACGTGCAGAGGGGGGGAGCTAAGGGGGCTTGAGCTTGTTCAGGCCTTTTTTTATTTATTATCACTTCTAATGAGGGCAGGTATGAAGTTTCATTGCCCCGATCAAGAAAAACAAAATAATAATGAGAGTAATTTGGCTATTGAGATATTTGCAAAAGCAAATTTCATATTCTGCTGGTAAGTCAGTGTTTCCTGCGGTGCTTTATAGTAAAGGCGACTGACTAACACGCACCCTCCGACTTCACTATCGTAGGGGAGCAGTGTGCAGTTTTTCCCACCTTAGGTGATCGAGCTCACCTAGATGTAGCAGGTCTGTATGCTCTGCAGGCGACCAGAGAGAGAAAGTGAGAGAGATGTCTCCTGTTAAGTCTTGTTGAATGCACTTGTCGCAGTGCAAGTTCAACGTCCGACAAACAAAACTTTAAATACCATTATTTTTTTTGTTCATTTTTGCTGATGTGATTCTGCTCTCGTTCTTGGTTTTTCTGCGTCTTAAGAACAATCCTGCTGACAGTGAAACTTTTTTTAAACAGGAGTTTTGTCGTGTTGCATGGAGCCTGTGTGCACGGATTTGCAATATGTGGGCATGGTTTCCTTATTTGTGCGCACAGATTTGTAAACTGTAGTCCACGAACAGTTTTGCAATCTGTGGCAATTAATGTGTGCAGCATAGCTCGCACTCTCTATCTCTCTCTCTCTCGTTCAGTTTGTGCGTGATTACATAAACAAAATAATGTCATACTAAGTTCTATATCAGCTATATGTAGGCTTCTTAGATATTCTGCAGGGCGATAATAGGGCCTGCTTGAAGACATCACTTATGAAGTCATATAGATGGATACGGACTGTAAAAGGAAATACTACACATTAAAGAGCCTTTGTTCCAATCACGTTTCTGATCAACTTTGGCCCGTTTAGCTTCTTCTAGCACATTCCCTGTCCTGTGAGAGCAGGACTGCAGGCCAGAGGTACAGAGACACTCTAATGAAGGCAGCATCAGACTGAATCTTTGTGGGCTGATGAGAGGTCGTTCTAGTTTAAGAGGTCAAATAAACACAACATTCATTCATTGGTTTGTCTTATTGAGCAGCGCAGCAGCTTCTCTTGTACTCAGGCAGGAGAAAACGTCATCCCCTCACGCTGCATTTTCACATTATGGAGAGAGTTGGTTGTGTGATACGACGTCGACATTATAAATTACCATCATTCTTATCAGCACTAGCGTTGAATGTGCCATTTTAAAGAAGTGTGTTAACAAAAAACACTATATCATCACCACAGCTGTTACAGTGGTTTACTGGTGTGAACATGCTGAGGCCAGAACCAGATGTTTCCTCTCTGACCCATGTGTACATTTGACAAACTGGACTGTTTGTAGTTTCTGGTAGCTGTGCTTAGTGAATGTGTTCACCGTCAAGAAACTAAGAAACTTGGAATAAATTGTCAAATCTGTAAAAGTCAAATAAAAGAATTAAGCACTGTTGAGTTGTCTGTGGGAGATTTATTTCTGTTTTTTTATTATGTCATTCTTAAAGCCAGTCAAAAGATCCTCCAAAAATGTAAATTCTTAAAATAAATATATAAATGACACTATGACGAAGTCTTTGGCCATTTAACAAAGCAGAACTTAAGTATTGATTTGTTTCAGAGAGACTCTGTTTAGATTTTTTTCTTCCTGTAATGTGAGAGTTTCATTCCAGCTTTTACACTTACATCACAAGATCTTAAGACTACAGGCAATTAGTAAACGTAAAATCACATTTAATGACAATAAGCATATCTATAATGTGCAACATTGTACAAAAAGAAGACGATGGGAACATTTTTTTTTACAAGAACATAAGTGATGTACTGTACAGTAATATTATATGTAATCCCAGCAGATTGTGGGTACATTAAACCTGTGTGTGTGTGTGTGGGAGGGGGGGTTACCCTGTAAATGTAACTCACCGGGCCTTGCAGGTAATACTGCAGGGCCGTCTGAAGCGTGGAGGGAAAATGAGAGCAGAGTCGCAGCTTAAACACTCACCTAAGAAGCTTACTGTTCCTTCTCTGTACCTCTCACAATCCTCTTCGTTGGAAAAACTCTTCTCAGGTCTCTACGGACAAATACCTGCTGGACGGAGGGCGTAAAAAAATTCTCTTGTGAGGTAAAATCTTATCATTGATACGGCTGTTTCTTTTTTGAATGGAATTCTTGAAGCTGATGTTTGTGTGTATAGTGTTCACATATGGGTTCATTGTGCGGTTGTGAATGTTTTGAAAATGTCATTAGAGGGTTTAGAGTAGATCAGTTGTGATTAAACAATCTGTAAAGCTGAAAGAGAAATCTTATTTAGACAAGTTTGTAGTTTGACAACGTTTAAATCCTACCTTTCTGCACAGGTATGATCTCTGCAGTGAACTCAGCTGCATTTAAAGTGACAAGTTCACTCATAATGGACTGAGCATTGGCATTCAACAGTCATCAAAGCTATAATTGTGTATGAACATCAGAAGTTTTTCATAGTTTCTGTTCAAACAACCATAATATCACCCTATTTTACTCAAAAATATATTCACACTGTTCAGTGTTTAGTATACATGATGGCTTAAAACATAACCTGTCTCAAACTGTAGCCTGTATGGCTACTTTTAACTTTTTAAACATTGTTTCACCTTTTTATTACAAAAGAGGAACATTTCAAACGAAGAGAAAAAGATGAACTGCATAAAAGAAAATCCATATCAGTATCTAATGACATTAATGTCTTGACAAGTAGGCTATATTATGTTTATATTGGGGGGAATGTGAAATAGCTGCTATGGGTAAACATACAGTAAATGTTCAATAGTGATAATTTTACAATCTTGTAACATGTTCTTCATAGAATGTGTTGGTTCATTATATGTTTAGTTCCCAGAATAGCTGTGCTGCACTCTTCTTCTCTGGAGCTCAGAGAAGGATCAGGTCGGAGCAGATTACCAAAGACTAATCTCCGAGCGCACACACATGAACACACAAACAGACCAAGTGGTCACAACCAGAAACACTATTTGGAAAAGACTCAGTGAAACAGTCATTTGTCTTTCTTCTTAAATTCATTTGAACATTTATGACTGTTATTTTTCCACAGGTGTGACATTGATCTGCAGATATGTGTGACCAGACATTCGTGGCGGTCACCTTTGGCCCCTGTGAGAGCTGTGGGTTGGCCAGTCCTCTTATGAACATCTACGTTAAGACTGACCCGCTCAACTACTGCTCCTTCTGTGTGGAAGTGGTACGTACATAGTAACATATTTACACATGAAGAGTATCAACACTTAATGCAACACTCAATTACTAAGAATTTACCACACAGCAGCACCTTTTAACATACACCTGTCATTTTGTAGGCCTATCTTCAACACACATACACACACACACACACACACACACACAGGAACATTTAATTATAATATAATTATATTCAATTAAGTTTTCAATATTTTTTTTGGCAAATGAGCCTATCACAATTACTGAAAGAGAAAGAGAAATGTTGCTTACATTTATGGTTCAATTCTTTTTGGATATATTTTTTTGCTTTTATGATTTCCACTTTATACAAAATATAGAAATTTAAGTTGCATGACCTGAACAACAAAGTTACCATAATTTGAGGATGGTCATCACCCTTAACTGTTTTTCTGTATCAAAAAAAGTGTATGCATTGCATCAGTACTTAAGTGTATTAACAGATGTTTTAACAATAAGCAAGCTCAAGTGACAGAAAACGTAGCATTGTATTTACTGTATAATATATATATATATATATATATATATATATATATATATATATATATGTAGACAAATTTTAAGTCTCTTGTAGGCAAGTAGAGTTTATTTTTATGGTTCCATTCATAATTCAAAGTGCCTTACAGAGGTACAAAATCAAAGAATTGATAACATTATGAGCATTAAAAGTCATGACATTGAGCAGAAATAAGTCATTATACAAAACTAACCTAAGATAAAATGTGTAAAGAACAGTTTATGTAAAAATAAATTAAGCATCAGACACAAAATATATTAAAATATCCTCAAATTGGGTAATTCATTACGATGATTAAGCTGTAGCTTAAATGTGCTGTGCATGTGCCAGCGGTGGTGGAGGAGGAGGAGAATGAGAATAAGGAGGAGGAGAGTGAGGAGGAGGAGAATGAGAAGGAGGGGGAGGAAGAGAATGAGGAGGAGGAGGATGAGGAGGAGGAGAGTGAGGAGGAGGAGGAGGATGAGGAGGAGGAGGAGAGTGAGGAGGAGGAGAAGGATGAGGAGGAGGAGAATGAGGAGGAGGAGGAGGATGATGAGGAGAGTGAAAATGAGGAGAGTGAGGAGGAGGAGGAGGAGGATGATGAGGAGGAGGGGTCTCACAACACTCAGGGGACGAGCACGAGCCTCTGATATGCGCGGCAGCATCACTGTCGCGCTCGAGGACCGTCCCGTTTCTCTTCTCGTGATTGCTGCCTCTCCTCTTCTCCTTCCTCTCTTATATTTATCTGAGAGTTTTGTTTGTGTGTTTTTTGGGGGGTGTTGTTTCCTTCCAAAGATGGCCTGTAAGGGGCTCCAGCGAGGGGAAACCCTGACGTCGCTGAAGAATGAGAGCGAGTCTCTGAAGAAGAAGCTGGAGGAGGAGCGGGTCAAGCTCAACGACGTGGAGCGTAAGTGCCCCAAAATGAAATAACTAAGCTAACGAAACGGCATTACACCTATCTCTCTTAGCCGCCTTTTCCCCTGAAACATGGCGAAAATAACTCGTAAAAACCATGAAGAGGTGTGCTGTGTAGTTGTTTACTAATGATAACATTGCAACTACACTGTCTACCATACACTTATTACACTTGAACACAAGTTTGAGATAGGCGTCTTCTACAAGTATTTATTTACTATTTTAAACTTACACCTCACTATAGGCACTGCCTCAGGTAACGAGGCAGGATGTTAAAAGTCTAATCTTAACACGCTGCAGAAATAATCGTCCAAAAAATCTAATTTAGTGATGATCCACTACATTTTGAAAGTGAATTACCTGCAAAATATTTTGAAAGTTAAGTTATATTTTGATAGTAAGTAAAGAGCCTTTAGATTTAGGTCTGTTGGTTGGACAAAATAAGCTTTACAAAGTTATCACTTTAGCAAAGTATTTTCAGCAATTAAAGCATTTTTCTCATGTTCAAACGTTTAATTTTGATTTAACATGAAGAAGACTACATGTAGGCTTTCAAATGCATTATTACTTCTAGTAAATTGCAGCCTATGTTGTGTCATTTAATTGTGACAGTTATTGTGTGATTGTTTTTTTTTTTAAATTATTTTCTAGTAATGATGATTTCCACCGATCAACTTCGGTTTTTAAAAAGTCTGTCTGAAAAAGGACACGCTTTCACTTCTACCAAGAGCAAAAGCCCCATGGTACCATGATGGGAAGAAACATTAGCATAGGAATTATCTGACAATCAACCTATGATTTAATAATAAGTATTTCAGACGTAAAATGTATTTTCTGTACTTTTCCTTATAGGACATTTTAATTTTCCCAATGATGTAAACCAATAACAAAAACAGAACAACATTTATTCATTGCTTATGTAATAGTTCAAATATGAAAAAGGTGATGATATATATTTAAGACAGAGGGGTTGTGTGTCTGTGTTCTCACGTCAGTGCACCAGGTGGCTGAGAAAATCGAGGTGCTGGGAGCTCTGTCCTTAAAGACCAGACGTGTGCTGAAGGGTCATAGCAACAAGGTGCTGTGTATGGACTGGTGTAAAGACAGACGCCGTATCGTTAGCTCCTCACAGGTAAACTACACCTGCTCTCATGCACACACATCCAAATGAATATTACTGAATGACACAACAATCTTCATTTCATGTAACCCAATAGTAATGCCTGTTTGTCTCATCTAGGATGGAAAACTGATTGTCTGGGATGCTTTTACTCTAAATAAGGTAAGTACAGGTCTCTGATGATTCTGTGCACATATAAGAGAATGTGTGACCTAATTTCAGAAATAATTACCATAAATGAAGTGACTGATGATGAAACTCTTTAGATTAAAGTAGATTAGATTAAATATTTATTTTTATTGACATTTAGGACATACATTTAAATAATTCCCTTTATCAAAGTTACATTTATAGAGTTCTGAAACTTTAGTTGGGGGGAAATGTGACAAGTTTGTCAGAAAGTTTGAATTATTATCTAAACACCTAATTCAGTAACAGACAGACATAATTGATCCTTTATTAATACTATGACAATCATCTCTAAGGAAATCATTTCTCCACTACTTTGATGTTTAAAGGGAACGTAATAGTACGACATCCATCAGTTACCTGGGAAGTAGCGGTGCTGTTGCACCCATTAAAATCAGACAAAATCCAAACCATCAGCTTATCAAAACGTTGAGACGTCTGTTTACCCTGTTTATGTGTGATCCCTTTTTTTCCGGTTTACAATAATAGTAGGTAACTTGTTTATAATGCACCCTGCAGACTGATACAACTCAAAGCAGGTCTGAGCTCTTCTATCGTTTTGCACATGTTGAGAGGTTTTGGAGAGGTTTTCAACATAACATTTGGGGCGGCAGTAGTTCAGTCTGTAGAGACTTGGGTTGGGAACCGGAGGGTAGCTGGTTCAAGTTCCGGTGTGGACCAAAATACGAGTTTTGCTGAGGTGCCCTTGAGCAACACCCAACTGCTCTGGTGTGATCCCTGCGTAGCAGTGTGTAGCAGCCCCACTCTGACATCTCTCCACTAATGCATGTCCACAGATCTCGTTTGTGCATGTGTGTGATTCGGGCTTATGTGTGTGAGAAGTGTAAACCAGAATTTCCCTCAGTGATAAATAAAAGAAAAAAAAAGAATCAATAATCAAAGTAATCAAAGACCTGCAATCATCCAGTCAGACAGAGCAGCATATCTAGAGGTTTCTGCATATTTTGGAGTTTTTAGTTGATTATTCCTTTTTGGAAGAACTTCTGAGCGAGAGTGAGGGACGAGCTATTGTGCACATAGGTGGTGGGACAAGAAACGAAAGCCTCAATTGGTCATCGGCTCTAATAATACTCCGTTTATGTGCTAAGTGTGTGAACAACACTGCAGACTGTTGTCTCTGTTAACAAAAAGCTCTAATGTGCGCCGAGAGCTCATGTATGTCTGCATGTGCTTCTTCTTGTCACACTCACTGCTTTGTTAGTCATAAACTATAAACTGGTCATAGGACACGTGTGAACTTCCAGTGTGAAGTTTGTTGTCGTTTGAAGAGTAAAATGTTCTAAAATCAAAATGAGCTGCTGTCCTAAACTTTCAAATTAATTAAGAAAATGCGAATTCGTGCAGCACATAGTATGATGTCATCATGAATAAAGTCTTCTCTCAGCATCTCCAAACCAAAACTGAATTCCAATGTCGCTGATACCCATGAGACTTAGCAAACATAGAAATAGTGTTTAAACTTCATCCACCAGATCCATTCTCCAATAACAAATTAATTTAGCAACATCTACAAATATCAGTAAGATGTATCGTATACAGTAGCTGAGTTTATTGTTCATCCCAAAAGATGAAATGCAGAATAGGACTGTCACTTCCAGGGGCTGGATTGCCCAGTCTAACCTTACCCACTTCTCTGCTCTGTTATGTAAGGCGACATGTTGTGTTTTTCAAGCTCATGTTCTCCTCGCCATATTCATGGGTGTTGAGTGGGTTGGTGGGTCACCCTCTGCTGCCACACTCCTCTTAGAGAGAGGCCACAGGGAAATATGCGTTTAAAGATTATCTATCCATCAGTGCCCTCCATGTTTGTCTGAGTGCACTTAAATGGCAGCCAGGATTTAGCCTGGTTTGACCATCAGGTCTTCTGATGGAACAGACTTAACCACAGTGAACATAATCCCTTTAATGCTCACCATGTGCAAGTGTGCTACACCTGTGTACATAGTGTGTGTAAGAGAAAAGTTTACTAATGCTTATTAAAAAGAATAGTGTTTGTTTCCCCAATGAAAGTTTTCTCCCTTTCTAAAATGTGTTGTTGTGTGTGTGTGCGTGTGTGTGTGTGTGTGTGTGTGTGTTACAGGAACATGGGGTCAGCCTGCCGTGTACATGGGTAATGGCGTGTGCTTATGCTCCTTCAGGGTGTGCTGTGGCTTGTGGGTGAGTACTTCTCATTTTATCATCTGGAATTCATAACAATCTATTCTCTCCAAAATAAAAAAAATCAACAATGTTTTTGTTAAGTACATTATAATACAAAATGTCCATTAGACTTCATACATATTCAAAACACATGGTGTTACACTAAAGTATACTACTCAAGTGATACTTGCATTACTATTGAGTGTTATTATTATCGAGTTTTACTAACAATAGCACTTTTGTTTATTAAGATGAGTGAGTGGAGAGGGGTTGTAGGTGTGTTGCTCTAGGAGAGCGGATGATTCAGTGAGGCGGGGGTGTCGCCAAACAGCAGTTTGTTTTGGTTTCTTGCTGGTGCTCAAGGGCAACATCTACTGGATCAAAAAGTCGCACATTCTTCCTTTCACGATTGTTTCCACAGTCATGAATGCATCAATCAACATCACATAATGTAGCAATTAAACAACAAACCACATACAATAACCACACAGGTAGTTTGTTCCTGAGGGAAGGACCACAGTAACTAAAGGCCCCCTCTCCGGCCTTCTATCTAATTCTGGGGCCGGGTTGGGTTGCAGACCGTGAGCAGATCAGAAATGTACTGAGTAGCTGAACCACTGAGAGCTTTATGGACTAGTAAAAGGACTTTGAAAGAGAGGATTCTGTATTGTATGGGGAGCCAAAAAAAGTGTTCTGAGGACCAGAGTGATGTGTCCAAATTTTCTTGTAAGTGTCAGGACTCTGGCTGTCCTACAGATTGTTTTGATAATCTTGCATAGAGAGCATTACAGTTGTCTAACCTGGTTGACATGAAGGCATAGACTCATTTCTCTACATCTGTTTGGGATATGAATGCTCTGAGTTTTGATGTATTCATTAAATGATCAAAGGTTGTTCTGGTAATGTTGGTGATGTGATTTTCAAAGCTTAGGTCAGAATCCAGTAATATCAAGAATTCTGGCCTGCTCATTTATTTCACTGCTAGCCATCCAGGAGTAAATCTATTTTATGCAGTATGCTAGTTTTTTTTTTAATAGGACGAAGATTACCGTATGAAAAAGCAATGTACAACTGTGTGTCACCAGCATAATGGTAAGATTGTTATGTTTCTTTATGATTGTACTGAGCGAAAGCATGTATAAATCAAGGACTGATGCTTGTGGGTTATTGTTTATTATTTGTTGAGGAAGTTACTAAGACTTGACTTCACACAATAAGACTCAGTTGACTCAGATGGCTTACGTTGATGAAAGTTTATACGTACAAGAATACTCCGGAGCAGAGATGGAGTAGCAAGCACACGTCTGATGCTGTGTCCCTGCTTGGCCAATTCTCCCAAACTCTTTGACAGGCTTTGAATATATCCTATCCTGACGTCAGAGTCACACTGACGTAAACTAATCTGTGTAGTACAATTTGGAACAGACACTAAGTCTACCAAACGTGCAGATATAAAGGGGAAGACCCTCAACACACTAAGCTGTCCTTGGTTTCTTAGTCACAGCTGAACTCTTTCAGGTCTGACTGACATCAGAGAACAGTGAATAAACATAATGATGTTTGTACACTTATATCTTAATAAATAGGTACATTATCACTAATGTCTAGACCTTTAGAAAAGACCTGGTCAAGTGGGTGTCCTTTAATATTGGCGGGCTAAGTGACATGTTGTTTAAAACTAAATTATTCAACCACTCAGAAAGTATTTGGTATCTGAAATGTTGCTGTTGTCAACATGAATCTTGAAATCCCCAGAAATGATAAAGCTGTGTGATTTAAGGAAGATAACAGTAACAGTAAGTCACAGTGGAACACAGAATTAAGAAGAAGATGAATGTTCAAACCTCAGGTGATTTCCAAGAGGCACAGATTTACAGTTAAATATATCTTTAAGGGCTGCAACCACCAACCCCTCCTGTTAGTTTGAGGGAAATGCACAAGTTTGTCATTTTCAGGCAATGTCTCAATGAGGTCATTATTCCCTGACTGATCAAGCCAGGTTGCAGAATATAATCAAGTTTATGAGGAGGAATTGGTTCATTTAGAATGAAAGAACAGAAAAAGCAAATGTTCCTGGTTGCTCTTCTTTTTTTCTTTTTAACCCTGTGCTTCAAACTTCTGTGGTGATATCTTTAAAAAGAATAAGACTGTATTGTAGAAACTGGTTGCTAAATGTCTATAAATGTGTATGAATGTGCATGAGCAGATTTGATGTTCCTAGGAATAACTTTTAACAAATGTATTCTGCTTGTGGTGCATAATTGTACTCACTCAATTGAATCATAATGATCGTATTCTCATTCATTGAGTCTGTCATCTTAAATCATTTAAGACATATCCACACCCTACACTCAGCATATTAACTGTATACAGCTGAATATGAAATAGTGAGTAGTAGAGGTCAGAACAGGTCCCAACTGACCTCTGATGTTTTTTCATTTCCATTAAAAGCGGATTGGATAACAAGTGCTCCGTGATTCCGCTGTCACTGGACAGCAACGAAAACTTGGCTGCAAAGAAGAAGTCTGTCGCCATGCACACCAACTATTTATCAGGATGCACCTTCACCAACTCGGACATGCAGGTGAGTACTGCTCAATGTGGTAAGCTCAGATGAAGTTATAACTTTGAACTACAGAGTCCCAGCCTGTGAAATAATATTTATAAGTCCAGTGCTTACCGAATGAATGAACTTTATCAATACTCATCTCCAAGCTGTAATACATTTTGATAGTGTTACATAACACAATAGTAAAGACATACGTTTCTAGCTTGCATTGTCATTAGCTACTGCAGGGTGAACATTTTAGCCTACACACTAGTTAGGCTTTGCTGATCATTTAGCGAGCCAAGAAGCTCAGTAACAGGAAAGTCCACATTTCCCTGTAAAGAATTTGGTGAGATAGGGGTTAAGGCCTCTACTTTTGATCACATGAAGCCATCAAACCGTAGTTTTAGCTGGGAATTGGTTTAATTTTACAGTACCCACTTAGCGTTTTGCAAACCTTGAACACAGCGGTATACAACTAGAACAAGGAATGAGCATGATGTCAAAGGCAAATAACCACTGTGTGAAATGTGGTCAAAAGCTTGTCTATCAAGCCAGGTTCCTGTGAGTGTATGGTCCTGGTGTGTTCTCTTTGCATGTCATATTCTGTACAGTTAACAGACTAAAGATAGAAATCACCACCAAATTACAAAAACTAGGATAGTCAACAGCAGAGCTCTTCCAGGACTTATTTATTTATTTTTTCATTATTATGGGACAACATTTGTGACTCCCCAACAGTAGGAGAAGGGTAAGATACTGACTGAAACATGTACAGCATGAAGCCTCAGATATTTGCCTTCACTTATTTGCTTCTCTCTGGCCCTCAGCGAGGCAGATGAGCAGAATGTTCAGGGAGAACAAGGAGGAAGAGGTGAGGGGAGATGGATGGCAGGGCTGAGGAGGGGGCAGAGAAGAGACAGAGAGGCGGTGGAGGGGGTGACAGTCCTGTGTGCAGGGTGTATTAATGGACACTGAGTGGCTTTTATCTGAGAAAGAGAGGAACACAGTGACCTGAGGGCATAACATTTAACACAGAGTAGACACACACACGCATGTGTCCTTCTGTTCTCTTTCAGTACCACACACAAACAACACTGTCACACATCTTTTCTCTTCTTCTCCAACTCACACACAAAGACACACACACGCACATGAGCAGCTCACGGCTTTTATGGTATTAAAATAGACCTGAGAGCACAAAGCTGTGGACTACATTGAGGGCTCAGAAGTGTTTACTTTTTGTTTTTTGAAAGGCTTGTTTCCTTTTTAGGCAGCGTGGGGTGTGTGTCAAACGTTTGTGGTTACAGTAATGCACATTCTTAAATGTCTGTCAGCTGAATGTATTCAATAAATGGTGACATTCAGGTGGTGATAGACTCTGTTGGGTGTGTGTGTGTGTGTGTGTGTGTGTGTGTGTGTGTGTGTGTGTGTGTGTGTGTGTGTGTGTGTGTGTGTGTGTGTGTGTGTGTGTGTGTTGTGTGTGTGTGTGTGTGTGTGTGTGTGTGTGTGTGTGTGTGTATTGTTGAAACTGGAGCTACCTCTGTGTGCAGGCAGGATGTGGTGTGTTTTGTGCCTGAGGTCATGCAGCAGGAGCTCTCTAATCCAGCAGCCAGCAGAGATCTCTGATGCCTGCATGTGTCCCTAAGTGCCCATAATCCGTTTTCATCAGAGGAATCACTGCTGACATTTTGGCATTATGTGTGCTTGTTTGTATGTGGATGCATGATGCGCAGAGAGTTTTCAGTGGTCGATGGAGGTGCTGACCTTTGGCTTGTATAGTATGATGTATGTGTGTGTATTTGAGTGTGTGTTAGTGTACCATGTGTCAGCCCCGTGCATTTAGATTAAGTCATGTCGGTCATCTAAAGCCGCTAGTTACTTCTAAATAATCATATTATTAAAACTAATATTTAGCTTGAATAACCTTTACTTTAAAATATTGTTCCATCAAATCAATTGTGGAGGTTTTTTACAACAAAAAAAGCCTTTATTGTCTTCTAAATCAGTCACATTTTAAAATAGAATAATGATTTACATCATGAATAAAATGTCTATTTTGTCATCTTTTTTATAATTTTTCATTTTTTAGAACACCTGCAGCGATGAAGTGATCTTAATTCTTATATAGATAATTTAATCCACAAATAATTCAACAAAGTTTCTAATCTGAGAACTCTTCATCTTCAAATCAATACATACATTTTCGTACTACTTTAATCAAATGTGGGTTTTTTTGTGCTGCTGATTGTTTTGTGTTTCTTGAATTTATGTTGGACATATGTTGTGTGTATTTCTCTTGTGTGCTTTTATGTGGGTGCACTCCTACACGTGTACATGTGTTTTTCTGTTAGCTCCTGACCTCCAGTGGTGACGGTACATGTGCGTTGTGGGATGTAGAGAGCGGGCAGCTGCTGCAGAGTTTCCATGGACACACAGCTGATGTCTTGTCCCTGGACCTCGCCCCATCGGAGACTGGAAACACTTTTGTCTCTGGGGTAAGAGACAGAGATCAAAAGTGTTCTCAATCATTTAGTCATGGCAAAACTCTGTGACTCTTTAATTTAGTTGAGCACTGAAACTGATATTGACTTGGTGTTGATGTTAAACAATGAGTGTTTTTTTTCGTTCAGGGGAGTGATAAGAAGTCCAACGTGTGGGACATGCGCTCTGGACAGAACGTTCAGTCTTTTGAGAGCCACGAGTCTGACGTCAACTGTGTGAAGTGAGTCCAACTCTTCAAACATGTCTCACAGTGTCTCTCAGATTTTATTTCTAATAGAGATGATGATTGAACCTGTCACAAACAGAAAGAGAAAGATGTGTCCACTTCTGCATCTTCTTCTACTATTATGAACAGAAACTTGAATGATTATACTCCATCTTAGTTCCTGAAATTACACAATAAACAAATGTGTACACATGTCTGTGACTATGCTCAGCATCATAGAGACCATCTGAGGCACTTTCCTACTCTTTAATTTCCCTCTCTTTAATAAATGACTGACGGGCCCTTACAGTAGACCAGTGGAATTAAGTCTAGCTTGTCCAGTTGTCTGGATTTTTTTGGGGGAAAAAAAGATTTTAAGAGTTACCTTAGCCAATCTCTAGACACATAGCTGTGCTATATTTCATCATGACCTTCTGACATGGGTTGCATGTTCAAATTTGAGTTTTTGTGGATGAAAGTATAAAATATTTGAGGAGGCTGAAAGGCTGACTTGTTCTAAATGGACATTGTAATCAATTCTCCAGTGTTTACAGCTTGTACAGAAAAACCTTCAGCCCTGTCAGAGGCAGTTCAAGCAGCAGGATTTCTCACTTATTTTAAATTATTTAGTTTATTGAAAGGCTTATATTATGCAACATGTGTTTTTTAGGTACTACCCCAGTGGAGATGCATTTGCTTCTGCTTCAGATGATTCCACAGTGAGTCTTGTTTTATACCACCTGCTTATCATTGTGTTGCCATTTCATGTCGTTAAATCACTATACAGCCACATCATTGAGAGTTTCTAAACATGTCCTTATGCCATTTCTTTGGTGCAGTTGTATATACTGACACTCTGTAAGCCCGTTTCTATGATACACCTACTGTAGACATTTGTCAGGCTAATGTTTCTACAGTTGATTAATCATTGTGAGTCCTGTGTGTGGCTGTGTTCTGTGTGTTTGTTGGTTCTCCTCAGTGCCGTTTCTATGACCTGCGAGCTGACCGTGAGGTAGCCGTCTACCAGAAGGACAGCATCATATTCGGTGCCTCCACTGTGGACTTCTCTCTAAGCGGTGATTATTCCGTTAAGCTCTTTGAAATTAATAATCATATCAAATTTGTTTGGCACTTCTAAAGCGCTAACCTTTTCTTTTTTTAAGAGAATATATTTTCTGCTTGTTCAATGTCAACTTATCCTTTGTCTTTCTCTACTTCCTGCTCTATTTTCCCCCCTTCCTCTTTGACATACTTTCATGTCCGTTCCCACACTTGCAGGTCGTCTGCTCTTCGCTGGTTATAACGACTACACCATCAATGTGTGGGATGTTCTAAAGGGAACTCGTGTCTCATGCCTCTTTGGCCACGAGAATCGCATCAGCAGAGTCAGAGTGTCGCCTGATGGCACGGCACTCTGCTCTGCCTCCTGGGACAACACCTTACGGGTGAGCCGGAGTTTCCCTGCTGTGTTTTTTGTTTCTTATTTGTTTTTACTAAACCATCTGGGATCACAATAAATTCAAACAGTGTTTGTTTAACTACACATATAATACAGTAGACATAACATTCAAAAGACACTTTCACTTTCAGCATCATAATTGATTGGCTAAATACACAAATTCAAAGTCTTACAGGTTTTTAATTATGAACGTGTTTAGCTTTGTTCTTATCTTGTGACTGACCTCTTAACATATTGTACATAATGCAAGACAATAACATGACAACCTTTTTTCTATAAGCAGGGTTACATTTGTATTGTTAAAAGCAAAAACCTTCTTTTGTATTCTTACTAACATTTGCTTTGTTAAATCAAAATATGTGTTTTCATCTTGAGGTTGTAACTTTTTATTTATTTAAAGGTTCATATATTTTTTTCAACTTACGGCTTTTCCCTTCACAATTCTCTTGTGCAGATTTGGGCGTAGAGTTTGTGTCACAGTCCTGATCCATAAAAAGACAGCACCAGCATCATGTGAATGACTTGACAGCAAGTCCCTCCCTGCCAATATTCAACACTACTGCAGAAATGTGAAGAAACCACCTCAAATATCTCCTCTGAATGAGGATATATCAGTTCATAATCAGACTTTCTTTATAAGGTATTTATTTCATTAGACATTTGATCATGTTCTGAGTCCTAATCGTTGTTGTTATCCTTAGCTTGATGACAGACTGTATAATTATTTAATGATTGTCACTAATATAGGAGGAATAATTGTCAGTGTAAAGAGCCAAAATGACCTGTAGTAACCAGCAGCTTGTTGCTTAAATCTACAGACATCAATAATCATCTTGTAAATTATGTGTATCAGTTCACTGTCATCTGTCCTGAGACACACACCTGTCCGCAACACCACACTGTAGGTGTACACACTATTGTTGTTGTTTATGTGTCACTTACCACATACCACTAATTTAAATGAAGCCACAGATTGTTCTCATTTAATATACATACCAAGCAATTTAGGAGATATCTTGTGAGAAAAATAAAGAAGACTTTAAGTATTTTTTGGTTTTGTACCTTTTGTGTTGTCTCACTCATTTCTTACAGCCTCAGGGGAGCGCTCATGTAGAGGTGAAGCTGCAGTGAATACAGATGAAGAGATGGGATGTCTCTGAACGGCCTGCGTGACACAGAAATTGACCTAGATTAAATCCAAACAGCTGAAATATGCATTTCTCTTTTATTGTGAAGGGGGGAATGTGAATGTCCCAAACCTAATGATTCTGTTATGAAGGTTTTGGATTTTTTCATTATCGTCTTGTCTACAATTGTAGCAGCAATGGCTGCTTTCTCATCCTTTGAAATATCTGGTCACTGTGTGATGATAACTCAATGACAAGAAGCAGTTTAGAGTTGATTTCACTGAGAAATTTTAAAACCCCATCTAAATTACGTTCATGCCCAAATAGAGGCTAATGACTTCAGTATCTCTCTAACATGGCAATAAAATTATGATGCGAAATGTTAGTACTTTGATTAATGTGATGTTATTGAATTTTATCAGTGATCAATAAAAACAATTGAAAATATTAGATGTGTCACTTATTTGGATATGTTAAAGATCAGAAGAATGAAAAACACTAATTTTATCTCTGGATTTTATCTTGAGTGACAAAGTCCCTTTTCTTTACCAAATGCAACCCTACCAACCGAATAGACCACTGCTTCTAAATGTATTTAACATAGATTCAAAAAACACCAGTGTAATCATGAGGGAGGATTAAGAACCTCAATTTAACACTCAGTTCTTCCAGTATCTGTTAGTATTTTGAGCATCCATGTTGGGAGACATACATCACTTCTCTTGTTGAATTGTGTCTACACAACGTTATTGATAAACTCAACTCAACTTGATTTGTATAACACTATACACACAACACTGTTGATCCAAAGTGCTGAGCAGCGCAGATAGAGGGGAAAAAAAGCACAAGTCGGTAACAAACAAAGGAAATCAATTACAGAAAAACATCGCCAATATGATTTGTAACTGCAACAAGAAACAGCAATACCAGCAACAATAGTCTTTCCATTTGACACGTCTTTATTTACTTTTAAAAGTGTTCAAAGGTCAGACGTCTTCATCCACATCATCTCTTCAGGTAACATTTAAGTAACATCCCCTTTGTTTGGAAAGTAAACAAATCCATTTTAGATTGTCATTTAAATGAGGAGGAAAGCATAAAAATCACCTGAAAATCCTAAACAGACGATCCAATGCTGCAATACAATATCTTTATGGAGAAAAAATGTCTATATTAAAAGCATGTAATTGTGAGTCTGAAGTCCACTTAGACCTTTCTGTTTTTCTCTTCTCACCTAATTCATTGATTTTTCAAGCAGCTCTTATCACAAAACACATGTCCTCTGGAGAACTTTGTTTCCCCCCCTTTGTTTCTCCTCGTATTTGTTACCCTAATAATTGTTCTATTAAATAACATAAAGCCTGAATGTTTCCTGTTGTTGACAAAGGAAACCACACAGAGGGAGAGACCAAGGTAAATAGGTTTGAAAAAAGACATGAATACAAAATATAGATGGCAAAGACAGGGGGGGGGGACCACAAAGAGAAAGTACCGAAACATGTCACCAGATACCCCAGTGTGAGCTGTTCATATCCTCAGCATGTTTTACTTCCTCATGCCAATCATCACTGAATTTGTTTGATGTGTTTCACTGAGAGTGAGAGGAGCTGGACTGTTTGGTGATGAATGAAACCAGATCACAAGTCTGCTTCCAAATTTTTTCAGAGCAGAACTGAAACCTGGAATTAGACCTTTATTAAGATTTGATCATTTCACTTGAAAATGCCATCAATACATTTATTTGAGAATAGAGAAAAGTTATTAAGGTTAAGGCTTCTTTAAAGATAAAGCTGTTGTGCAGAGAGGTGATTCAGCTTTCCTAGGTGCATATAACACATGACAATACAGGTTAAAAAGACCAGTCAGAGAACGTTAAAACAAACATTGTCCATGACATCAGGTCATCAGTCATGATGCAAAAATCCAACAGTGTCTGTTTTACATCATCTATGACCAATGAGTCTTATTAAGTCTACAAAATCTAACATTGTATTTCTTGAAAAATAATCATCCTTTTCTTCAAGAACTTCTTTATGTGATTTCAGAATTGTTCAGCACTGATTATAAAGCTTCCCTTATTTCTCGGTCACAACTGAATCCTGTAGGCCTACCTATAAAATCATGTCAGTTTTAAAGTTTAACTCAACTCAACTTTATTTACAATATTACAATTCACTTAGCAGATGCATTTATCCGAAGCGACGTACATCGTAGAGTAGGTACAACACTAATCCATTCATACACCGCCACAGTAGCAGCAGTTAAGTGTCTTGCACAAGGACACATCGGACATGTTGCTCAGCTGGGGATCTAACCCTCAACCCTGGAGTTGTGTTTAAAGTGCTTTATACAGCACTTTAAACACAACATAGTTGATCCAAAGTGCTGAACATTGCAGAAGCAAATCATTAGAAAGTAACAGACAAGAACAACAACAACAATAAATAAAAAAGTGAACAAGTGACATTTAATTCCAGTGTAACACAGGAATAACAGAGCTATGGGTTTTTGTGCTTGAGGGGTTACTGAACATTAAAGGCAACTGAGTATAAATATGTGTTAAGGCGAGTTTTAAAAACACCAATAGTGTGAGAGAGACGGATGTTCCACAGATTTGGTCCTGCAATAGAAAAAGCATGATCTCCATTGAACCTTGTGCTGTATCTAGGCAGTCACAGAAGGTTCTGTGCTGATGACCTAAGATCTCTCACCGGCAAGTCCATGTAATGCCTTAAACACAGTCAACAGTATTTTAAAATCAATCCTCAGCTTGACTGTCAGCCAGTGTATGGAGGCAATAACTGGGGTGAAATTTCCACAATTTCCCAGTTTGGGATCAATAAAGTAATTCTATTCTATTCTATAAGGATCAACAAAACCAATTAATTTATAGGCAAATAGTCACATTTCAGGGACAAGATGTGTTTTTTTTTATTGATGCTTATAAGATAAACTCAGCGATTCATTGACTGTCAGGGACTGGGATTTGTAGAATATAATTTATTATTTTTAATCTATAGGCTACCATGATGCCATTCATATTTATAGCTAAAGATAGACCGACATAAGGCTGATTTGCTGCATTGAGTAGGCCTATATGGCTTATAAGCTTATGTAGTTATTCATGTTGAACAGTGGACAGGCAGAAAGACAGCTTTCAATAGCCTAGCCTCCTGTGTTACATACACTGCGCATGGACAGTTTCATTCTAATAAATGCATGCTTATTGCTTCAAAACGTTTTATTGTATCCATACCGTATTTGGACTTTACCTACATTTCTCTATACAGTAAACAATAACTAGAATAACAACTCATATACGAGAGTTTTATTTCCAATAAATCCAGCGATGGCTCGTTAAATGTAATTATGATGGGACTTTTGCGGGGCTTTTTTGCGGGGGTAGCCAATCTGTGCGTGATGGTGCGTAATGAAAGAAAAGTGGAGGCGGAGTTATATGATAAATGTGCAGCCTGTAAGGGAAGCTGTGAGTGAACCGAGGGTGTCCTTCCGCCGTCCGTATGTGCAGAGCGCAGTCTGATATCGCTGGGAGGGTGAGCTTTGTTTCTTTCACTTACAGAAAAACACCTTATACCTACGTGTAAATGTGTCCTGTTTAGATTTTGATATTCTCGCCACAAGAAGGTGTTCATATATTGGTTTTGAAACAGCTGTAAATGCGTGTATGTGGCTCTAGTAGATGAGGTAGCATCCTGTGTGAACGCAGTCCTTTGTGTCCTCCATTGCTCTGTGACAGATCTCTTGTCAGCGTCGGATTAAACCAGCCAAATGAAAGTTCACCACTTGTCATAATACACAAATTATCGGTTTATGCGACGCATATTCTAAAACTGTGTTGTCGTCTTGTTAAGTGCTTTGATAAGTGAACACATCCGACGGCATCTTCCGGCTTGTATTCACGGAGAATACAAGGCTAACAGGCTAGCCTTCTGTTAGCATCCAACACGTAGCGCTAAAACCTATTCACCATCATATCCTAATATCTAAAGTCGGTGTGATGTTTGTAGGTAATTTATGTTAAAAGCTAAAGCTAACTGTGAATAGGCAGAGTGTATGGCTTAATTGATTGATTGGAAATAATATCTTTAATAAGGTATATTCAAAAACTACAAAAGATAATTCATAAATAAGACCATACACTGTTTTTCAGGTACTTTCTACAACAACATTAGCAGCTTGTTTTATATTTTAGCAGCTTTAAATGTAATCTTTGAGCCATAACTTTTTTTAATCACACAAGACCAAACAAATTATGAAGTTATGTTGTAAATAAATGATTAGTGTAAATATAAGAAAGTATAACACAGTCATTTTGTTACTCTTTGGGTTAAAGACATTAACAAACCTTACATTTGTTCTCCCAGCCAATCAATTCTAATTCCTACATGTCACTTGTAATTGAGTTTATTAAATGTATGAACTGCTTCCTCCCCTTGTTAGAAAATGTCGTGCGGGCTGTGGAAAGAGACCCTGGCTCTGGCAGAGGACTACCTGTCCCTGTGCTGCACAAGCCCACGGCCAGCCCCTCCACCTCCCAGCATGTCAGCCGCTGCTATAAGGCGCCTGGCCCAGGACATGGAGAAGCAGCACCAGGCCCGCTTCCAATCCCTGGCTCAGACCTTCCTGAGGCAGTGCGGGCCGGACCCCTGCTCCGGTCTTAGGAAGGTGATGGAGGAACTGGTGGGAGATGGACACTTGAACTGGGGAAGGGTTGTATCCCTTTTCACCTTTACTGGGGTGCTGGCCAGACAACTGCAGGAGCAGGAGGATGTGAAGCTGGGGCTGGACCCTGTGCAGGGGCAGAAACTGGGACAGGGACCCGGGCACTGCAGGGGACTGGCAGAGACCATAGCTGACTACCTGGGAGAGGAGAAAAAAGAGTGGCTTCTGGAGAATGACGGATGGGTGAGTTGTCACAACACGTCGGCTTCTAAACTGGCTGACTCATGCATGTGAAAGTGCTCGGCTGATTAAAATATAAACATTGTAGATAAGGGAAGTGTTTTGATGGTATCAAAGACAGTAAACCAGATTAAAAGGGACCCGTTAAAAAAAAAAAAAAATCCCAGTGAGACTTGCATGGAAAAGGGATCTTTTTCGTGGGAAACCACCTAGTTTATTCAGATCATGTTTGCTTCCTGTTAAAGTAAGCTTTTATATTCACGTCCATGGGTGTAAACGTGGCTTAAACATGGCCAGGGTTTAGTTCAGATGCAGCCTTTTTACTTTACTGTAAATGAGACAGACTCTCAGAGGTCTCATGTGGCTGCTGTGATTATGTGAATTGTAGAGTAACAATAGGCCAGATTCTAAGGAATGTTTGCTTCAAGATGAAAAACCTCAGCAGTGTAAATTGAGGGACGTGATCAAACAGTGCTAAACTTGAGATTATCAGAATTTAGTATTGTAAAGGTAAAACTGTGATGAATGTATAATCTCTTATACTACAAATAAAAGCCTCAAAGATGAATTCAAACCACCCCGGTGAAGCTAGTTTAACTGGAAATACTTAAAGGGATAGTTAGGATGGAAAGTTTTGTCCCAAAAACTGAACAGCAGACGAGTTTCATGTCTCCTTTTATGAATGGGTCTGCCTACTGCCTAACCCCCCCCAACACACACACACACGCTCAAACGCTCAAACCCCTCCTTTCTTCAGCTGGCAGCTGGTTTCAACAGACATTTAACCAGCTCAGCCAGATGGACTTTGTAGTAACAGTCAAAGCTTCTGTGTGTTGAGTTTGGCATCAGCCATACTGGGAGTCGGTTTAGTATGACTTGAAAAACAAGCAGCTGCGAAGCACCTGGAGCTGAGAGCAGGTGCACTCACTGGTCGACTGTGTCTTCAATTAGAAAACATGATGCAGAAATACAACATCTGACTAACTTGCTCTAACTGTATGCGTTTCCTAGGGTAGCAGAAGTAGATCAAATGAGTTTATAATTGATATAAAACAATGTATTTATTTCTCTATCATCTCTAAGCAAACGGGTCAAGTCATTTTTCTCTTAGGATATTTAAAAAATGGTCCTAATGTAAAAAAACTTTCTGCCTCTGTGTTGAGGTTGTCTGACATTCATATGTTACAGAATATATATTATAATCACCACCAGCTGTTAGCTGGTACAGTTACTTTTCCTTCCCTGCTCATTTATTTACTTAAACTATCCTATTTGGAATAAAACGGCACATACATTTGTCCTTGTAAATAAAGGCAAGGGTTTTCATGCTCTCTACTCTCGCCCTAACTTTTTGAATGTTTCTTTTATTGCTTTTCTTTTAGGAGGGATTCTGTGAGTTCTCCCGCAGCGCTAGAGAGACGAGCCAGGACTCGTCCATGAAGACGGCACTGTTTGCTGCGGCTGGTGTGGGCCTTGCTGGACTCACTTTCCTCCTGGTGCGCTAGCTAGCTTTCTGCGTCCGCGAAAGATGTTTTCATTTCATTTGGCTAAATTACATAGATGATTAAATTCTACCATCAGTGCTGCAAGAAACAACAAAGAGCTTAATCTGTAGTGATTTCAGGGCGTAACAATTTCATGTCATCAACTGAATGTTTGCACATACTCAAACCTAGCGCACACAAAAACACTGACTTCTTGTCACTTGCTCCTTAAGATTGTAAAAATGTTCTCAATGCCTTCAGAAATTTTGGAGCAAGTGGTATCAGTGTGCATCTGTCTTAATAAAGCACAGGTTTCTGCACAGAATCATCTTGATTTCAGAATTTTCAGCAGTGCAGCTAAAAAACTTAATTTCAAATCCCCCACAGCTTTTGTTTTTTTTTAAATTGTCAGCTGCCTTTTATTCACGTGTTTACCTGAGTTGTGTATGTGGTATAGAGCCATTCTAGTGTACAATGTATAAATTAATATATTATATTTATATGAAATGAAACTGTAAGCAGCAGTGGCCCTTTTCGAAACTTCCACAGCTAATTCAGTTGTTTCATTGTTTTGAGTCTGTCCTTCATTTCTGTGATTTACATGGTCGACAGATCCGAGTGCAGGCCTGACGACCTCCCTACGGTGCTATGAGGATACTTGGTGAAATATTTCTCTTATATATCTACCAAACCAGGGACCAATCTGAAAACAAACATCCTGCTATTAGAACAAGCAGTTCTTGCATTCCCTCCCACAGATCTCTGAAACATTATATTTTTACATTGTTTTGTCTATTTATTTGTCACCGTATTTTTTTTTTTTTCTTAAATAAAACAAAGGAGCAATGATGGACTTTGAGTCATGTGATTGAGTGCTGTTTTTATTAAGGTTTTCCTTTCTTTAGCAGGTGATGGGTGTGTGGGTGAATATGAATGGTAAATGATCCCCTCAGCTTTCTTTTCATATTCAGACATATTTTCATAAATAAGAGATGTTGTGCTGTCTGTGTCTGCTCTGCTGACCGTCACAGCCCTCTTGCTTCACAACAGCTTGTACAAAACATCCCGAGGCCAAAACCAGTCAGGAGAGGATTTGTCAGCTCTAACTTATTGACTTGTTTGTTTTCGAAGCAATCTAATCTTTAAAGTAGCTCAGACAGTGATGATCCAAGTCACAAAATGTCTTCAGCATTTTTAGACTACACTGTGTCAGTTAACTTAAATATATGTACTTTAGAAAATGAATGTACTTAAAGTTAATACTACGTCTTCTACTTAAACCTCATCTCAATGTCCACATCAGGAGACATATTTTTTTAATTTAAACTTTAGCTTGCTTCAGCAGGACTAACAAGTTGATCTATCCTCAAGTTTTATTCTTCTATTTTAAATGTGTTCATACACTGACGCATAGGTGTAACACTAGCTTAAACTTACCAGGTTTCAACTAAATAAAACCAAGTATTTAACAGGATTTTGATGGGTGTCACGTTCTAGTGCTTCTGAATAACACAAGGCTTCTGATAAAATACTCAGTTCCATGTTTCAGTTCTGTTTTACTGTTGCCACCAAGCATTAGGGGATAATTGAAGATGATCAAACTGGTGTAGGATGCTGTGCCTTCATCAGTTTGATCAAGGAAGGAAAAGTGTCAGGGTGTTAAAACATATCAGCTGTCTGCTCTTCAATGGTCTCAAGTAGACACTTCTACAATTGATGTTATGCTTGAAATTGACATTTTGCAATATTAAAAACCTGACTTTTAATAACTGATTTATAAATAAAATGTACATTATACTTGTAGAGATGAAGTCATGAAGCTGACCATGTTAAAGGTTGCCTGTGTGAGTGAGTGTCTGTGAGAGTAAGGCCTCAGTCTCTCTGACTTCTCTCAGAGACAAAGAGCACGTTTGTTGGATCACTGAATCTGATCACTTCTCATATTATGCGGGCTGGTTACAACACAAACGCACTGTTTTTTTTAAAACATATATTCCATAGTGAACTTATAAAAAAAATAGAGAACCATGACTTCTGCTGATGTGTGAATCTGTTTCCTGTCAATACTTTCCCTTAACTTGATCAGTTCTTATCTTTTTCTATTCCTTTATAGACTATCTCGACACAGGATGTATGGACAGTGGACGTCTTGATCTTATTTTCTCGATTTCATACGTTGATCCATTTCTGTCACTTTACAGGATAAGTCTGGATTTATTCTACTTAATTCTATTTTTGACAAACACAACAGGGAAAGCAGATAAACATGATATAGGGACCTCTGGTTGTCGTATTTAAATCAATATTCAGAACCCTGATGTGTGTTTGGTTATGTAAAATGACATCCTATTCTCACTTGAATATATCGTTTGAATATCATATCATTTGCATTTGAATGCGTTATAGAAAAGCCCTGAGGTACTTTAACACTTATCACAGGGCACATTATAGACTGCATTATAGACTGCATTATAGACTGCATTATAGACTGCATTATAGACTACTACATATTGATAATTAAAGGGTATAAACAAGGTCAAACTAAAGATCCTCAACATGAAAAGAGAACTTGAAAAAGGAAAACAAACTATTTCAAAGCAAATTAGCAGAGCTTATCAAAAATGAACCGACTGTTGGGACAAAGTAGTACAGGTTGGCAGAGACACACATTTTGAATTGCTCAAGTCTGAAGGGAGCCCAGCAGAGGGCGCTCATATTACACACAAAATATCAGTCCCAGTAGGAATTCACAAGAACATACTATTGACATAACATACAGGGGAAATTAAGGCAAATGATGCTACTCAAGTAACATCTTCAGCAGAGATAGTGAGATCAAATTGATCTAGGTTTAAATGTTTCAGTCAGTCAACTCTTCAGCCAGCAGGAGAAAAATACTTCACAACCAACAAGTAACTTTCATACCTCAAAACTATTTTTTTGTGTTAAAAAAAACCCTCTGAATTTGTGAAATGATCCCATTTCCTTTTAGCAGACACAGAGACAATCTGAACTGAGAATGTATGGTGTAAGTCTCATCACTTTAGCTTGTCTTTTATTGGAGGAACTGGGTGTGCTACAATTGCCCCTCTGTTACAATTGTCCCTGGTCTCCCCTAGTAACTTAACCACATACACCACTCACTTTCAATTTACCACCTTAAAGTCAATGGACACTCCCAACAATAAGAGAAACTGGATGGCAGATATACAGCCTCTCTTGCTTATTTGAACTGCAGAAGGCCTTTATTGTTGCAGATGAATGCATTACATGCTGTACGTATTTACTCTTCTCTGCATAGTTAAAATGTGTGTTTCATTCACATTGAATTAGGCTGGCATAAAAAACATACTCTCTACAGACTAAAAGAAAAAAGTCTTGTGAGATCCACTCTTGTTCTCTATTGTTAATTACATTGATTTTATTTAAATGTGGCTTAGTTGGTTTAAATCACTTCAGCACACTTACTGGTACTCTCTGTTGCTTAAGCTAACTTAAGTCTCTGATGGGAAAAATATTACAACATAATGTAACCATTGTTAGTGCAGCCTAAACATGACACTAACTATAGGCAGTGAGAGGTACAGATAGTTGACCACTATCAGGACTGTATGACCAACCCTCCCAATAAGTGAAGTGTCTTTGACTACAATGATGCTGGTTCATTACTCATCAAAATCTGCATGAAGCAAGCTTCATCCAGTTAAATGTGTTTTTTCTCTTCCCGTCTCTAAGATACGTATAACAATATGATTCATTAGCAGTATTGTAGATACTGCTTGTATTGATGCACATATGACGTTATATATGTAGCCTACTAACAAACAGTTGAAATCTGTGTTGTTGTTGCTGAGTATGAAATTGGTCCTCTGTCATTTCTGATACCTTTATATTTAGATCTACCAAGTTGATTCTAACAACTCTAGTTTGGTGGGCAAAACAGCAAATGGTCTCAATTTGAAAAAGTTTGTAGTTTATGTCACTTTCAGTTTGGAACTTTCTTCCAGTTCATTTAACGCTTAATGCAGAGAAAATTGTTCATATTTAATCCAAACTATCTCCTCAATGTACTGAGACATTGTTTTTAAAGTTACAGTGTATCTCTGCTGACATGTTTTGGTCACATTTTTTACATTTTGTTGTTGATTAATAAGCATTGATGTGTTCCACCTGGAAGAAACAAAACTCACTTTTATTTTACAAGTAAAAAAAACTGAAATTAAGTCTCTCATTTGGTTCTCCTGTGACGTTTTTTAAATTGCTGGATAAGAGATTTTTGTGATTATTCTCGGCTCAAGATGCATGATTTTGAAATAGGAAGCTTTTGCAACAGGGGTAGTTATTGTGTGATTAATGACTAATTTCCTATTCATATTACTGCCATGTAGTTCTGGCTCACTCCTTGCTTCCTTTCTGAAGTCATTATGTGAAGCTGGGCTACTTAAGGACAAATCGTGTCTTATCTAGTTCAGTACGTGACCCCCAAAATAAGGGTGCCAGAGCCTGGGGGCCCCCACTGCCCCTGGAGGTGGTTGAGGCATATAACACGCAGCACACCTCTTTCATTTTATTTTGAAAAGCATATCGCTACCCCCCTCTTGGTGGCTCAGGACCCCCACTATAGGAAACACTGATCTAATAGATGGGTATGTGGTCAAAATTTTCGACTCTTTTGGCATAGCAGCATCATTAACATCAAAGGTCAAATATTTTACCTTGTTTATTCTTTCTATATGTAAAAAAACACAATAAACACGTAATGATGGAAATGATGTCATACATACACTGTGAAAGTTTGTCCTCAAACCAATCTGTACCCAGTACATATTTTACTTTTGTATAAATCCATCATGTAACGCATGCTACATCGTATCTGCATTGGCCTCATTAAGCTTTCATTCCTTCTCCATCAACTATTTAAAAAGGTGAACTCATCAATATATTTATGAAATACTAAACATAAACTGTGTGACACAGTATTTGTGGCGTCTTCACTGGCAATAATTGAACATATCAAAACCCGCAATTCCAGCTTCGACTTATGCTCCTGTTCACCTTTTCTGATCTGATGCTTGTCAAAACATGTATTGACTTACTGCTCAGCCATAAGACACCTGAAACTCATTAGTTGTGATTCAGCGTTTACTGGAAAACCTGCCAAAATGCAGATTACTCACTGAGGCAGTAAGCTTAGGGTTCCATTCGTTCAGTAAAGGTAAGATCATTTTTGGTCCTGTGCTAAGAATAACTAGATGTATTATCTGAACTTATTATTTTATTTTATTATATGAAACTTATTATAAATGACATGAAAATGCAACCGTCCCATTAATGGATTTATTCCTTTAATTTTCTTTTGGGCTTTTTATCATTGTTTCTATTGCTTAGGCTACGTACATGCTACTGTGTTGGATTTTTTGAGCTGGGTTTTTTCTGTCTCATCTCTGTTCTGTTTTATTCTGCAGTACTCAAGCTTAGGTTAAAAAACTGATTTTGATCTGAATGAGATAATGTGATTCATCAAAGAGTATAGTATTCTTGATTCATTTTGATAACCTCTCACAGAAGATTGACAAAATCTCAAAAGTAGTTGCTCAAGAACTTTTAGTCTTGCATGCATGTTTGAAATTTGATTACTGTCGCTCATTTTTTATTAGTCACTGCTCCACTTCCCCCTTACTCAGGTCTTTGTAGAGTCAAGGCTTGCGTGCGTTACCCCTGATATGCAGTTTGGTGAGATAATCCTGTTGTGTGTTTTTGTCATCTCTGTCTGAGAGTAAAATTAGTGCTGCCATTGGTTCCATAAACTCAGACAATGGACTTGAATTATACAATAATGTAAAGGGATG